GGCTCAACCTTCTGTAAAAACCTAAACTAATAAATTAAAAACCTGCTCTTTCATCTATAAACTTTATTTTCTGTGACGCCCCRTCGGCTCGATGACTCGGCTGTTTTGTCTCCATGACTCGAGGAAAACAGAAAAGACGAGTTAATGTTGCTGCATAACGTATTTTAAATCACTAAATGTTCTCAGTTCAGAACAAACAGAATCAATCGTGTTTATTTTAAACTCGAGGAGGTTTTCTGGTTGAAAGTCAGCAGCTGACAGGAAGCAGAAGCCATCAGCACAGGAATCACTTCTGGCCCTCACACACACGTTTGTATTGGCGGCGGCGGCGGCGGCGGCGGCGTGCAGCTGCGCGGCCGTCAGGTGTCCCGGTTAGTATGAAGACATGATTGTGGCCGCGGCCGGCGGCGAGGCGAGGCGCCTAACTGAGGCAGATTCTGCGAGGCAGCGAGCGGCGCCGGCCTCAGATGGGCTCTGACACTCCAAAGCTGCTGCCAAATTGAAACCATTTATCAAAAGCTGACATGGGAGATCCAGTCACCAAAAAAGCAGTTTATTTGTAAATTGATACTAATAGTGAGCACACATTGTCTGGCCTCTTTGATGGCCTGATTTACAGCCCGAGTGGAACATCAAGCATCCTGCCGCCGCCTGCCGCTGCTAAATATTCATTTATTCAAAAGAAAACTCAATAAGGCCGCGGCGGCAGGAAAACTGCGAGGTGACGGAGCGGCGTGTCGGCGCTGACCCAGCAGAGGCGGGTTAACGCCGCCTGTCACTTCTCCTTTGTTTTCACCTGCAGCTGCCACTCCAGAGCCACACGAGAGCTCACAGCACTGATTCAGGAGACAAAGGGTTAACACCGCTTAGCTTAGCTTAGCTTAGCTTAGCACAAACACTGGGGTTGAAGGGAAACTGTTAGCCTTCATGTTTACATCTGGAATCACGAGTTTAAAACACAGAAATAAAATGTTTAAATTAGATTTAAATTCACATTAAATAATCAAACTAAGATTTTAAGTTTTAAGTAAATTTTAAGAAGTGAGTTAAATTCATCATAAATATATAAACTCTTACTAAAAACAAAAATCCAACAAAACATTTATTGTTTAAATAAAAACCTTCAGTTTTTAAGCTTTGATTTCTGCCAGTTTTTATTTTTATCATCTAAACTTTCAGCTGTGAACTCTAAAACTGAACTTTAATAAAACTTTATTATAAATAAAATAAACAAACGGAGCTGATTGACTGGATCCATCCGGACTCTGGACCTGCAGATCTTAGGAACCTGTTAAACAGAACTTTTCTTCACCAGGTTCTGTTTCTCCTCACTTCAAACAGACGTTTGGACTTCAGAGCTGAACTCACGTGCAGATCCCTCTCCCTCCCCTCAGTCCTCTGTGGGATCGATCCGGATCAGAGACGTTCTGCTGGAGTTCAGAAACCAGTTTCCTGTTTGTGTTGAAGAAACTGGTCCCACCTGAACGTCAGTGTTTGGGATTCTAAATAAAACTAAATAAACTAAATAAATAAACATAATAAAATAAACTTAATAAACGTAATAAAATAAACTAAATAAAACAAAATAAACAAACTAAATAAACATAATAAAATAAACAAAATAAAAGCCGTTTGTTTGGTCAGAAAATCAAACATAACTTCAGTTTATTCGTTGAAGACCTCAGTAAAGATCTGTAGTTGGTTTCAAACATCAGGTCCAGATGAAGCAGAACCACTCAGGTGTTCTCCTGCAGCCGGGTCTGGATGGAAGTCAGGTTAGTGGTCTGAACCAGGTCCAGCAGAACCTCAGAGGCTGGTTTCACAGCAGAATTACGTTCTCTGAAGAGCTTCAAATAAAACATGGATGAGACCAGGTTCTGACCCGATTTCAGGTTCTGACTTTCAGGTTCTGATTGTTTCAGGTTCTGATTGTTTCAGGTTCTGATTGTTTCAGGTTCTGTTTCTTTCTGAAGCGGTCCTGAAGCTGGTCTCTGTGGTTCCTGGACCGTGAGGTGGAGATGAGGTGTGTTTGAAGCGTGTGCACCTTCAGCTCTGATTGCTGACCCTGGTCTGGGTCCGGTCCGGTCCAGCTCGGTCCGGTCAGGGATTGTTAAATCCGGCCCGCTTCATGAATGAGGAGGTCTCTGCGCTCGTTGAGATTAATGGGCTGAATTATAATCTGTGAGTGGAGTGAAGCTCACAGTGTCTGATGAGCACTAATCTGGAGATCCGGCGTGAGAACCTCCTCCTCCTCCTCCTCCTCCTCCTGCTCATCCTCCTCCTCCTCCTCCTCCATCCATCCATATTTTATAGAGCTCTGAGGAGGAGGAGGAGGAGGAGGAGGGTATCTGTGGAGCCGTGCTCAGGGTGATTTATCATTGTTAAGCCTCCTGTCTGATGGCTTCTCCTCCAGGGTCACACTGATCCCTGTTCGCCTCGCACCTCCTCAGCCGAGGAGCCGGCCCCCCGTAATTAAGCCCCTGGAAACCAATGGAAGAAAATAGAAAAGGAGAACGGGGGGAGGAGGAGGAGGAGGGGGAGGAAGAATATGTCAAGAGATGGACAGAAGAAGGGCAAGGGCACGAGGGCCACGAGGGCTTCAGCCCCCAACAGTTTTTACTGGTTTTAGTGGAGAAACAGACGAATTTCTCAGAACCAGTTCATGTGAAAAATATTAACTTTGATTAAAACGGTTTTAAATTAATTGTTTCTTTATAAACTGCAGTTTCAGTAAATAAAAAACATAAAAACTATAAATGTTTTCTGATCAGTTAACTAATGTTTAAATTAGTAAAACAGATTTTATATAAAAACATTTAAATTATATTAAAACTGTTTTTAGAAGCTAAAATCAGAACAAGCAGCTTTAAAGAGTTTATCAAGTATGAAGTATAAAATAACAAACAGTGTTAATA